TGCATGCATGCATGCATGGTTAGATGCATTACCTTTCTAAAGAAAACGAGTTTGAGTTGTGAGAGTTGATGGAGAGAGAGAACGGGTGCTTCTGCTGGAATATCCTGAAGAAAGAGAAAACCTTTATTTAGTGGTTTTCTTAGATCAGCAAATTGATACGGCATTGAGTCAAATCTACCAAATTTTATTTTATTATTTTCTTGCCATGATAAAGGAAAAGAAGAATATAATAAAGATATATTTTTATTTTTATTTTTATTTTTGTTTTTGTTTTTGTTTTTTTTCTCTATTTCTTCCAGTATCTTCTCCTCTTTATCCTGCTGCGAACGAAGTAATATACCTAAATATACACCCCCTTCTCTCTGTGTTTCATTCTCTACACCACTATATACATCTGCTCTTATGGGGGCCCCCATCTCTATTTTATGGGGCCTCCAGGGTCTAGGTAGGGCCCCCCCAAGCAGTTGTTTTAAAGCATTAGCTTTTGCATCGGCTAGGGTTTGTTTTCTTGCTTGCTGCTGCTGCTGCTGCTGCTGCACTGCATGCGCTTTATCTTTTAGTATTCTACCTTCTGTTGTTCTTTCATCTATAGTATAATAAACTCTATTACTTAATGTTTTCTCAGCTAGTAGTATATGTAGGGCCCCCAATGCTGCACGATATACAGAGCAATGTAGGGGCCTCCTAAACGTTACCCTCTCCGCGGGGGCCCCCCCGTTCTTGCCTGCATACCCATAACTAAACCTCAGCATATCAATACGTTGCAGCGGCGTTGTTTTTACATAATCTAAAGCATTCACAAATCTATACGTCGCAGGAGGAATAGAACCTTCATCCTCCTCCTCCTGCTGCTGCTCCTGCTCCTGCTGCTGCTGCTGCTGCTGCTGCTGCTGCTGCTGTTGCTGGTTGTCGTCGTTGCTGTTGGGGGGGGAGCTCGCGCGGGGGGCGGATGCATGCAGCCCCAAGATATCGTATAGGGGAACCTCAGCAGTAAATATAAGCTCTTCATCTTGCAGGCCCTGCACAACGAGCACGAGGGCCCTCGATTGCTTGAGGGCCTCCGCGCTGCAGCTGGGAGAGGGTGTTCTGGGTGTTGCTGTAACCCAAATACCAAAAGGAACAAATAAATTTGAGTGTAAGAAAGAACCTTCGTGGCTATCCAGCTCAGCATATGTAGAAAGGGGTACTGGGGGGCCCCGTATATTCAGAATAGAGCCATAGGTTGATGGCTCCGCTGTGAAACTGTCTTTTATTGCACCCGTTAGAGGCAATACATGCACTTCCTCCTCCTCCTCCTCCTCCTGCTGCTNGGGCGCCCAACCCACTCTGTTGGCTTCACAAGCCAGCGGCCCTTCCAACGGGTTTCTGCATCCGGGAGGCCCCAGGCGTAGTCTGCTTCTAGGTAAGGAGAGATGAAAGGGGCGCGAGAGTAATCAAAGAGCAGCAGACGAGAGGAGCCGCTCCAGCCGCTGTGATAGGCCTCAACTGTTGCCTCATACTGTCGCGGGAGAGAAGAGAAAGCAGAGATATCGTGACAGTCGCTGCGGTTTTCAGGGTTTCCTGAATGAAAGCAAACGAAACTTTCTTTATCTGGTGGAGTTGTAGGGCCCCATATCTCATGCATATTACTTACAACAGCTCCTAAATGACCTATTGCTGTTGAAACTGCATCCGAAAAAGACGGAGACGAAACATCACCAACACCATCCTCTAGGTATTGACCCCTTATAGTATACGGCTCCTCAACACTATGCCGCTGAATACGAGAAGCAGAGAGAGGCTCTGCATGCAGATACGTGCGAGATGTATCCAGATGAACAAAAGGAGAAGCTCCTCTGCTGCTGCTGCTGCTGCTGCTGCTGTTGCTGCTGCTGTTGCTTCCTGCATCTCCCCCTCCTCCTACCAACAGTGGACGATGCAAATATGCTGAATAGGCACCAACAGGTTTGCTGAATCCGTGGAGCCGTCGAGCTCGAGATTCCGGCTCAGCAGGAAGAAGAGGAGGAAACTTTATATGGGGGCAAAGCGGCCCGGATATAGAGTCGCATACTGGAAACACGATCTGAAAAAACACAAGCGATGAGGTGGAAAGCTGTGGAAACTCGGGTGTATATGCAGAAATTCATGAATGAAATCATGAAAAACATGAAATAAAATATAAATATAATTAAAATAAATAAAATTCAAATTATATTATTCACGTACCTTTTCAGGCAGAACCTGATCGTATGTGACATAGGTCAAGTCCCGAAGAGAGGAAACAAGAAAATCTGCAACACAGGAATGCACGTTCAGAGATCCTTCAGCTCCAGAAGAAAAAGGAATAATATTTTTCCATAAACCGCCAAATTCGTGCAAATTCAAATTCATGAATGCCGCGAATGTTGTAAGCAGTGACACCGCATACACCCCGTGAACAAGCCGGAGGAAAGCGGAACGAATATAGGTTTCACGCGTCATTTCCAAAGAACGGCGGTAACCATGCAGAAAAAATATAAATTATTTTTTCTAGGATTTTTCCCAGCCCAGCAACTCCGCCGCTAGGCGAGGGAAACGTCTGAAACGCCCCGCATGTCACGAAACTTGAACGCTGTAGCTGCTGCTGCTGCTGCTGCTGTTGCTGCTGCTGCTGCTGCTGCTGCTGCTGGCAGATGAGGAATTCTTCTTTTTGCTGGAGAGTTTTCGGAAAAACACAATTGCAATACACCACAGGATCTGTAGAACAAGGATATTCACAGCTTTCCTCGTCGCTGGCGGCTCCTGCTCTGAGCCGGTATTATATGAAACGGGTCATCGCTAGAGAAGAAACAACTCTATAGGAAGAATACAACGCTGAAGGACGAAGAGAGAAACCGCAAAGGTGCGTAGAAAGAAAGCAAACGAGTTGCTTTCATGAGCTGCAAAAGAATAACAAGTTTCGTTTCTGCAGCTTTCAGGTGTATAGGCAGCTCGTGCAATATAGAGCCAGCTGTGCAGAAAGCTGCAGCTGCTGATCCACGGCGTGAAGTCTTGAGCTGTGTATACACCTGAATAAAATTAGAAGTTTTTGAACAAGTTTTTGTTTCTTTTTTATAAATGATGCAAAATAAATATACGCAACGCAGAGAGCGTAGCAGCTGACGGTCAAATGCATGCGGGGCTGTCACGAGTTTGTCTATGGCTAATAGGAGAAGGGAGAAGTTAAATATATATATTTTTTTTAAATTATATTTATTAATTACTCTTTTCACTTTCAAAAATACTATTTCTTTCTTCTTAATTCCTAACATTTCTCCCCTACACTGCTGCAAGCTACTCAGCTGCTCCTCTTCGTCGTCATCCTTGCAGGTTGAGGCTCTTAGAATACATTCTTTGCAACACGTGAGTTAATATTATTTTAAATATATTTTAATTAAAACAAATGAAAAAGAATTTTCTTTCTTAATATAATAGTTGCTTTGTCTCCTGTTACTTCTGGTGTGCACTCTGTGGTGTATATGCAGCAGCTCCCTGCTGCATCAACGCGAGAAAAAATTATTTGTGTATAAATTACAAAAAGAAAAAAAGAAAACCCCCTTCTTTCTCTTTATTAATAAGTTATTATCACTACTATTGTTTATTTTATTATAAAAAAAAAAAAAAAAAAAAAAAAAAAAAAAAAAAAAAAAAAAAAAAAAAAAAAAAGAAACATACGCCTTCAATTCAGTTCATCTTTCTCACCTTTATAAACTGCATTTATATAATACATAAAACTACTAAGCTTCTATCCATGCATCTTATAAATCTTTTTAAAAGGAAAAACGTAACGCATGCACTGTGCTGTATGTACACCGTATAAATACGAGTTGTTTTCTTTCATCTTTTTCCTCTCTAACATATCTTTGCTCCTTCTCAAGAACTGGTTGCGCATATATATATATATATATATATATATATATATAT